TTGAAACTTAAATCAAACACATTTATAATGCACGTGGTTAATAAAATTATACAAATCGTGAACTATAGAAAAAGGCAACTAAATTATATCTAGAACAAATTACATTATTCAAATACATTTCCTAAATTATATGTGTAGAACAAATTAAATTACAAATTTGTTTGACTGTGGTTTGAAATTAATTTAAAATGAAATATCGATCTAAATTTTTATTTAAATAATATTTTAAAACCATGCAAGATTAATTAATATTGATTTCGTGTTAAAATTACAACCAAACACTCCAAATTATTCAATAATATAAAATAATCTAATTCAACACTAAATTGATTGAAATGAATCTAAAAAAATGTTGTCATGCTATAGAATAAAGAGTGTTCTATTCACTCAAATAGTAGTATTATATTTAATATATATATATATTTATTTAAAATGTAACACTTAAATTATTTTTTCATCTAAAAAGTATTACAATGAATATATATGTTGAAAATGGTATAAAATAATTATTTTAATATAAATTTTATAAAATAAATAAATTTATAATAGTGCTTTTTAAGTAAACTTATATAAGTAGTACACCTAATATTAATATAAAGATATACTTAAACAAGGGATCACCTGACTTTGCAATATGGTGTTAATTTATATTTTTATTTAAATAGTATTTTTGACGTGATATTCTATAAAAATTAATAATTTATTTTTATTGAAAAATATACGAAATAAATAGTATTGATTTTGATTTAAAATGTTAAAATACTAAGTCATTGTAAACTTTGTATTTGAATACAATTACCCAAAAGTCACTTAAAATTATTGTGAAATTACAAATTATATTTACTGCTATATTCTTTTTTTTTTTTTGGAATTTATTTGTTTATTTTTTATTTCAAATAAAAAAATAATACTATTTAATTCGTACAATTTTTAATAAAAATACATCTATTTTATTTATAAAGTATTATATCAAAATATTAATCAGATTAAAATTCAAATTAAAACGAAGCAAACCTTTTAATTTTTTTTATAAAATTACTATAATTTCTTATAAAAATATATTTTGTTTAATAGTAATTATTATTTGTTGAAATTGTTAATATTAATTGTTGTTAATTATAGAAAAGTGTTTTGAACAAATGCAATTTTGTTAAGTAAAATAATTTTCATTTATTTAAAATATTTTATTAAAATATAATAGTATATTTTTATTACAAAAAATTTTAAATGATGTTAGGACAAAAGAATAAGCTCATTATACTATTTTAAAAAAAAAATATTACATTTAAATTAGTATTTGAATTATTAAAAAAAAATCAAAATTAAAAATTAAAATGGAATTTCAAATAATACACAATGCCTCTCCAAGATCTATCTGTAATTTTGCAACAAGATACGGTAATGTAGTGGACAGTTGACCTATACCCAAAGTCAAACCCTTCCCCTATAACGACTACTTATTGCTAATTCAATAGGTCTATTTTATTTGACTTCAACATCTAATATTTCAATCTTAATGGATGTGTTTGTTTCCATTTTCAAAAATATCTTCTTGAAGTACTTCATACATCTAATAAAATTATATTCAAAATTTTTGGACATTAAAATTAAAAAAAATAGTATTTTGATATTATTTTTGTACTATTTTATAAGAATAAAATTAAATTTTGTATGATTAATAATATTTTGATTTATGTATTTATTTTATATTACTAAATATAATATAAACGCACTTTTAGTGGACAAACTAAAATGATAAAACAAACACGGTTATTACAAAACAGGGAAAGTAGATTCTATTTACCTATGAATTTACCGATGAGATGTAAGACGTACAAAAATAACAATATTGACACTTTACATGGAACGAAGAGAATATTATTATTATTTTTATTATAAAATATTATTTAAATTAAAATTCAATTTTATTTGCAAGTCGAATAAACCCAATTTATAAGTTGAGTTGAAAATGATATAATATTTTATAGACAATATAAAATATTTGGAAAGCATTATTTGGTATTTGGTATTATTTGATGTGATTTGTTGGAAATGGAAGGAAAAAAAAAATAACGACGATTACGGTACTGATAACATAGTAATATATAATAGACAATATTATATATATTTTTTTTAATACAAATATAAAATAGAACTAACAATACATTATAATTTATACAATATGTATTGTCTATTATATTTTTATATGTTATTTATATTATTTTCATGTGTTGAGTGTGATAATCAATATGATGCTGATAAATCAATCCGCACCAAATATATATATATATATATAATACTCCTTCAATCCCAGATACCGTGTCTGCTACACTGTAGAGACGATATTTTAGGAGGGGTGTAATTAGTAGATAATTAAAAATATATTAGTGAAAATAATTATCCTATAATGTAAATAATTATAAATTAAGATTAAGATAACTAATTAGTTTAATTAAAATTAAAAAAATTAAAATGAGATCAAAGTATGTAATCATTTTTCAAAAAAAGAAAGTGACATGGTAAGTGGGACGGACAGAAACGGCAACGTGGACATGATATCTGGGACGGAGAGAGTATGAAAGCGTGTAATAAATAATGCAATTTGAGATGTGACAGAAGTTCACTATAAAAATGGTAATGGGAATTGTTGTAGTTGTATATTTTTCTCCCCACTTATTTTGGCCATTTGCTCTCACAACTTTATCAAATTTTATTTAGGTTTTGTGATAGGGACACACACCAAATTCTTGCAAACAACTGATGTGATCAATTATATATATATATGATAAGTGTGTTATTTTAAAGTTTGATTTTTATTTTTTATTTGAATATAATGTTTATTTAAAAAATATATATATATTTTTATATAGGAAATTACAACAATTATATATTATTTATGTCCCTTAATAATCTGTCTATTTTTTCATTTTGATCCGTCCCATAACAAAGTATTCATTTTTTTTCTTTTTTTTTAGTAATTGTACTATCTATCTAACATTACAAATATCTTTTCAATTTACAATATATTACGCAAATGTCATTACCTTTATATCTTACAATACTAATAGAGTTAATTTAGTTTTTTTACCTTTATTTCTATTTTAGTACTAAAATTTCTAAAACTCCGTGCAAAAAGCAAATGAATATATAGATATGAGACGGAAGGAAGGAGTATAATACGAAACTAAAATAAAATTTGAAAAGAAGTGAGTGAATGTTCTTGAGTTGACTCATTGAATTTCACTTTTTCTACTGGTTTGTGAATCCATCATTCACCGATGAAATATTTTATGTAATCATAACTCACCACTTATAGAATTGCCATATATATATATATATATATATTTCAATTTGAACTTTTTTACTGTTACTTTTAAATTAATATATTTTATAATTTCAGTATTTAGACCCCAAAAAAATTACGTTACTATTATCAATGTAATTTATAAAAATAGTTTAAATTAAAATAAAATAGTAAAGCAAGTTTTTTATATTATATTATCTACAAGACCATGTCAAAATAAAATTAGCAATAAATTAAAACAATGATAGTATTATATATATATATATATAAGAGACAATTTTTGTTATGGATATAATGCCGACATTCTTTAAATATTAACAGATAATACATAATTATAAATATAAATTTTTATTTTTTTTTAATATAATACAAACACAACACGATTTGATAATATATGACAATAATCTATACACCATATATTACTATTGATCTTATACAAAAGTAAAATTTAATTTTCGATTATATTTTTCAACTTATAACCAGATCACCTCTATAATATATATATATATAATATAGAAATTTGCAATCGTTATTTCTCGATTAAGTAAATTTTTAATTGAACTCAATAGTTTACAAACTAAATCAGCAAGAAAGATAAATCACATTAGGCGAATTATATGTAACGTATAAAATTTTGAGGCTATCAGAAATTTTAATTTATATATTTAAAACATGACATGTGGTGAATTGACAAGGATCAATAGTATATCATATTACATTGCTATGTATCATGTGACTTACCAGTCATGCTGATGTGCAATATCCTTTGTTTTGCTTACGTCATCCTCATTCTAAATTTCCTTTTCATTATTTTTGTAATGTATAGTTATCATTTTTATTTTATTTTTCTTGCATATTATATTTTTAATTAAAACTTCAATTTAAAATAATCCAAAACACAAGGGTTTATCTTCCACCTATAATTGATGCAATATAATTACCAGAAATATTTTCACACTCTTGCTTTCAAATTTGCTTAATATTTTATTTCAAGGCCCACTAAGGCCCAAAAGTACCCAATTGGTATATTTGGCCCACTAGTGTAATATATTGTGAAGTCTTTATATATATATAATATAGGAATATGTAGTAGATGTGTATAATAATAATAATAATAATAATAGTATAAATACCACTACATTTTAAAGCAAGTAGTAGGGGTGTGTTTCTTGATTGAGTTTCAATATTTGATATAATATATATATATATATATATTTAATAACATGAAATTAAACTAGTAAAAAATTATGTAAAGATTGGAAAGAAACATAATAAGCTGCTTTTAAAATATAATTCTATATATGTCCACAATCAATATTTATTTTACTTTTATTGTCCCCTATTAATATATTTATTTTCTAATTTGATAAATATAGTCTCCAAAGCATAATAAAACACTCTCATTACCAACATTTTGTCATATTATCTTACAATATAATATATATTTTTAAAGATATTTTAATTAATATATTTTTATACACTACCTATTACACATTTTTTAAAAAAAAAAAAAAAATCCAAGTTTTGGAGTTAAAAGAAAAAAAAATAAAAATATCAAAAAGTTGGGTATTTGATATAATGTTTTTGTGAGAGAAGAAAAAAAAATAAAATTGATGATATGATATTTTTCAAAAATATTAATGTTGATCAATATTTAATTAAAAATATGTTTGCATAGATCTTGAACAAACATAAACTGATACTTTTATATATTTCTAAAACAGTAAACACTATTTTACAACAGATTGTGTAATGCAGAAATACAAATAGACACACATACAATAAGAGTTCATGCATTAGGGTTACACTTCATATACATATATATATATGTATATATAGAGAGAGAGAGAGAGAATTCAGCAAGTTGCTTGGATAGCAGCAGCTTCATGACAGTAAAAACTTTGTTGAATTTCAAAGGCTAATTCCTCCACACTTACTTGGCACTCCAGCCCTATCTGCATTACAACATCATATATATAGAGAGAGAGAGAGTGAGAGAGAGAGAGAGAAGAGAGAGAGAGAGGAAGAGGGAGAGAAAGAGGAAGAGGGAGAGGGAGAGAGAGAGAGAGAGAGAGAGAGAGAGAGAGAGAGAATGTGAATTTTGTGATAAATGTGGTGTTTAAATATATAACCAATGTGTTAATTAAGCTAAAGATGGTTAAAAATTATCTCAACCATAAATTTCGAGATAAATTAAATTATAGTATCATATATATAATTCTTCTACGATACAAAATATATTGTCTTAATACTAATTTAACGATGAAATAATTTATCGAGACATCCACAATTAATTCTCCAAATAGACAAGTCATGATTCGAGACAATCTCCGATAGTCTTCATCAATTTATCGCGAAACAATTTTAATCAAGACCATACAACAAGATCGCATATATATGTATATACACACGCATATACATATCAATCATGTCAAGACGTTGGCAAATTTTATCATGTACGATAACCAAAACCTATATATACTCAAAAAAAAAAATGTCGAAAGTATATGTATTTTTATTTAGTACTTATAGTTTTAGATATTTTTAAGTATGCAAAATAGTGAAGTTATTATTAAAAAAATGATATTTGTGTTTCTATTGATTTATATTATTACGTGTATATATTATACTATCTCCGTCCGGCTTTAAGAGTCTTATTTACTTTTTGTATGTTGATCTTTGAATGTTAATTATTATATCAGAACGTAGTGCAAATTAAAAAAGATTGCAAAAATATTCTTATTAGTGTATTATAATATTAATAGAATAATATTTGTACAAAATCATACAAATATAAAGATAATTTTAATGTTAAATACAATGATGGTGAATATGACCCTTAAAGGTGGACAAAAAAAATATTTTTTTATAATATTTTTAGAAAATTATATGTGAATAAAATACTAAGTGAAAATACTGATGTGCGCGCGACGTACCTTTATTACGAAGGAATATAAAACGGTATCCTCCATGCTACTAACATTGAGATGAAGTATCTCAAACGACAATTTCTCAAGCACGCCAATGATCCTCAACAGCTGTCCCGGGATTCGTCGGGATATTGTCCTAACGAGGACATTAGACCCCGAAATCTTTGCCTCGACATCAGCCATTGGAGAGTTGCAAGAAGATCCAAGCTCCTTAATATTTCCAAAGGGAATTATTATTTCTTGATTTTGAGGATTATTTATCATTTGGAATTGTCTCGGACTCGGGCTCGGGCTCGGGCTCAGGCTAAGACTCCGGCGCCGTTTCTTGGCCTCCAACGATTGCACGACTTGGTGCAACTCCTTGATGAACTCTATCACGCCCCCAATGATCGACGCTTGATCACCCTAAAATTAAACAAAATAAAATCGAATCAAATTGAATTAATCATAGCCACAATCCAAGAAAACCCTAAAAATTTGATCATCTTATTTCTTTCATTAGGCATGATCACGGAGGATTTTAATTACACAAACATTTTTTTTGTACAAATTTTCAAACTATCATTTGGCAATTTTGTTACTATTCAACCATCATAATTTTTTTATAAATATATAATATTTTTTCTCACGAAATAAGACAGCGTCCAGAAAAAAATAAAATTAAAATTTTTTAAAAAACTAAACACGCTCAGATGTCTATAATACCCTTTTGATGTAAAAACACGGCGTCAATGATCGAAGAACTTTGAGGTGTTCGTTCATTTGTCGACGACGGTTCCTCTCTACGGCTATGTGAGCCATGTCTTAATTATATATATATATATATATGTATATAAATTAGTTATCCGATGACCTGATTTCTAGTCTCGTTCTTGTTTATGCTCTCTCTCTCTATGGCTATTTGTGTCTCTCTCTCTCTCTGTCTAAACTTAGGGGAATGGCTAGCTTTATTTATATGCAAGATGGCAATAAATGCACTGCATTACAGTCTCGTGAGGTTAATTTATACAGTTTTTACTCTTTACTCTTTTACTTTTGTGTCGATTCTTGTTACATGAATAGATACAACAAATGTATGTATCTATATATATATATATACATGCATGTTGTGAAGACACATATCTATATATATCACGTATATGAAGGTGGTGTAATTACGTTGTCCCGTGAGAGATCAAGTTAATTAAGAGAAAGGGTAACTCTTGCATGTATCTATATATATATATATATGTATATATATTTCATGAAGAATGATATATGGTCATTATGCATTCCACGCTCCCAACTTCCCACCTACCCCATGCACACCATATTTGACTTGTGTAACATTATTTTTATCGAAAAAATTAACTTCACTGCTTAATACAAGTCCTTTTTATTAGAATTTGATTATACAAAATTTTGTAAAAAGGGCATGACTTTTAAAATTGAGCTAAAATAAGTGCATTTAACTTTCTAGTTTTCATTGATAGGTGTTTTTAAGAAATATGTATATTGTTAACATGAATATTTTTGTTTTGAAGTATTAAGGCTTTACAAAATTATTATATTTATAAAATATTATTGTATCTCACTGGTTGATACGAATCATTTAAATTGATCTGTATTATATTTGGAAGAATTTTTTTAAAGGTGTCAATTTTGAAATTGAGTTAAACTCAAAAAAAAAAAAAAATTATAAATATTGTTAACATGAGTAATCTTATCGAGATGTTAAAGTTTATGTTGTAAATCATTAGTTGAATTAATTTTTTTCTTGTCTTTCAAATTGGAACTGAATTCAATATGATATTAAGCTCATAGGTTATTGTTTTTCTTCAACTATTTAAAAGATATGAAAATTTCATCATTATGGTTAAAAATATAATACTAGTTCACTCGTGTCGGTTCACGCAGCATTTTTGGATAAATAATATTTTTTTACTTTTTATAATGAAGATTGGATTTTTTTACTTTTGTATAAAATATTATATTTTTTATTATTTTTTTAAAAAAAATCACAATTAAAAAATAATATTGAGAAACAAAGACAAAATAACACTAGGCAAGTTCTATTTAGCATAACAGAGATTTTGAAGTCAAAATTACAAATCTACCCACCACATCTTATAAGGTGTGATAATATTATTTTAATTTCTTGGAGGCGTATTACGGGTGTGGATGAATTTACAGCTCAACTCACATGCCCTATTAATTGAATGCGAATTTACAGTCTGTTTTCTTTGGTTATTTTTAAAACAAAAAATAAAATGACACACACTTATATACGAGCATTTCTTACAGTGACATTTCTTATTACATTTATACCTTTTTAATTTTTGTTATAATAATTAGTTACCTTTCTCATTTTCTTTAAGAAGATATACAGTTATTTATAATTTATTACTTTCAACAAAAATTAAAAAAGAAAAAAAAAAGTAATTAAATATTATTGAAATTTTTAATTTAACAAAAATTATCTAATATATATATATTGATTTTTTCGAATAATTTTAATTTTTAAAATGGTAAATTATATGTTTCAATATATTAAAATTTATATAAATTAAAATTTAAAATTTTAATATAAAATTATATAAATATATTATTATTAGACAATAAAAATATATAGAAATATATATAAATAAATAATTTATATATATTATGCAATAAAAATATATATAAATAAATAAATTAGTATGGATCCTGTAGAATAGTAAATTAACAATAATTACTATAAGGAATGACAAAGAAAATAATTTAAATGTTGAATTGAATATGATGTGGATGAGAGATAATGTCTGTTCCAGATGTTCTAAGATAAACAGAGAAAGAATATTAATTATATTACATGATTTTTATTTTCCGAATGTTTCAAGATATTTATAATATAATCTTAAATATATTTTACTAGTTAATTCTTCAACCGTTTTCAATAAGCTCACCATACAAACACAATTATAGCCATATCCAATTCAACTCAAGGAGACAACAATTGTGCTGAACACATATCTATTTCTATATCTATATCCATATCTATATCTATATCTATATTGTTACCGCATAATTTCGTCGATAACTTTATAAAGAACTGCTCGAGCTCCCAACTTCTTGTGCTCTTCCAGTCCCGTTATCTGCATCAATGACATTTTCTGTCAATTCTCAACTTCGATAGAAGAAATGAGGAACGAAAGAGTAGACAAATTATTCGATACCACATAGAGTTGATGCCGCCGGCAAAAGAACCACAAATACATACATATATATATATAGGCGGTTAGAGTGTCGACTGGCTTAATATATTTTTGCATTGAAATCAATCATATATTGTGTTATACTGAATTATATCTATAAATCAGTATGGTGTTGATTTGACCGGTTCATATGAAAATTGCTCCGAGGGAAAGGGAGAAGAGACCACAGGCCGGAAAATATATCTTTATGTTTGGTTAGGGGGGGACGGAAAATAAAATAACTTTAAAATTATATACTTACATCATAGGTGCAACAAAATTGCATAATAGATGTTCGAATTAAGATATCATCAAAAACTATTTCAAGACATAGAAACCAAATCTAACATACCGAGAAATGCATTGGAATATTTTCCCTCCCCTACGCGTATGTTCCTTTTCAGTTTTTTACTCTATCTTTTTCGAAAAAAATATATTTTTTTTTTTCTTTTCACAAAATATTTTAATAAATCTCCAAACCCAATCCGGACTGAAGAAACACTCGATTGCAATAATATCTTTCAATATTGTTAACCAAACATAACATAAATACCAAATTTGCATCAAGCTAGAGTAATTATTTATTTAGGCGTACCTTGAAGAGTTTTCTCATACTCCCGGAGTTGTGAAATGAAACCGAAGTTGGGAAATGCCACAGGTCTTTTAGTCTTGACATGTTCCAGAGCTTCGGAGAAGCTCATACCATTTTTATACATCAGATAGGCGACAACAATAGTCACACTGCATGATTCATCGGTAAAACAGATTTAGCACGAGCACAACAAACAAAACAAGGTAATAAACTAAAAGTCAAAACGAAAATCCAGATTCTTAATACAAATTAAGATTAATTGAGTAAATTAAAGCTTTGTTCTCTTCGAGAATTTTTACAAATCTCTTTTTATTATGTAATCCTTACGATTTCCTACAAAATAAACCATTTAAACATAGAACACAAAGGCCAAACAAACACACCCCTAATTGAATAAGGGTTCCGATTATAAACCAACCATAAATATGAACATTCAAGTTCAGCAAAAACGGTTTTTTCGAGGAATTTGGAGAATTTTCTCCCAAAAAATCAAATCATACTCCTATTTTTTTTATATTGTGCTAAAAATTAATTTTATATTCAAAATATTACATCAGCACCTATTTATACCACATCAAACTATTTAAATTCAAAATTTTACTATTCGAAAATCCAAATCCTCAAACAAACACACCCTACTACTGTCTGAAACGATACCTTCTCGATTTTCCCGCAAAGCAATGAACCAACACACCTCCCCCCGTTGTTCTAGCTTCATCAATAAATGCAAAGCACTCCTCGAAGAACTGTGATATATTTACGTCTTCCCTATCAAACACTGCATCAATTAACCGAGAACATCGTCATTACCTCCAAATGAATCAATTTGGAGGTACAAAAAAAAATGAAAAATAGCAGTCTTGTCCATATTCTTAAGAGAAGTTAAGATTAATCGCTGAAAAGTCAAATCTACGGATACGGTCATACAGGTTATCATTTCACAAAATGGCGCCATAAACAAAGGATGCATAATATGAAACAGAAACTAAAGTCGAATCCTGCCTTGAATGCGTTTATATGTAAAATCATTAGGATGAGCAGGGTTAAGCGAATTGGCAACCGTTAATATATGTGTCACGTTTAAGCTTTTCAAAGCACTCCTATTATTGGCAGCTCCCAAAGAGCCTAAGTAAAGACCCTGAAGACGACATAAAATTTAATATGAGTCACGACAAAATATAAAAGCAGATTAGTTAAGTATATATATATAGATACAGTCTTAGAATTAAAACACCTCATCGATTTTGCAGGGAACATTGTCCTCTTTGATAACTTTTGCGTATTGGATAACTCTCAATAATTCTGCTATTCGTTCATTAAAAATGTCACCATCCATTGCGTATCGAGATGATGGCAGTGTTACACTTCAACAACCCTGTGCACAAATATGGTTATAATATTTCCATATTTACACGAAATTTATTCGCCGATTATGCAGATTTTTACTAGGAGCTAGAAATGGCAAGGTAAATGCATAAAATGCTTTGCTTGATCGTCGATGACACTTTGATATCACTAAAAAATTCTCACAAAACATCAAATCAAAAGCATATTTTTTATTTTTATATTATATTAACAATCAATTTTGCATTCAAAACTTCGTATCAAACCATTATTCCAATTCAAAATTCAAATCCCCAAATCGAAAAAGATTCCAGGATCAACTGATCACTGAAAAGGTATGGTTATCTTTACTATTCGAAAGAATTCTGAAATTGAAAAGATTAACAGACAATTAAACTAAGTTCAGACAATATTGCAATATATCACTGTTCTCTGTAACTCTAATGTGAATCTTAAGCTAATAAAGAACACAAACTTGATTGTTGCAGATTTTAAGGCCATGGAAAACAAGAAAATCAATCAACAGAATCATTTCGTAGGGTTACAACTTACAGGCTATTTTATTCAATTCATGGATTCCGCCAAATTCACAATCCTGCGAATGCAGTTTAAACGATTCCTCACACTCTCGAAAACAAATAACAAAATTGTGATTCTATTTATCCTGAGAACCTACAACGCTAATTTCTAGGGTTCCTTCAAATCGCAACCAACACAAAGAAATAAATAATAAAAATGAAATAGGGATTTTCTGAAACCATCAGGATTTTGATCATCCCAACAATTAAACCAACCGATAAAGAAAAGCAACTGGAGAAAGCAATTGCCAAATTCATACCCGTGGAGGTGAAGGAGGCAAACAGAAATACGTACGAATTAGCAGAACAGGATTTTCCGCTTCTCCCCGTCTTGAATGGATCGAGAAAATCGGAGAGATCGAGAGTAGCAATCTGGTCGAAATTTTGAAGTTTGTTTATTATTTTATTATTATTATTATTAGTAGTAGTAGTAGTATTTTAATGTTTACGTTTTTCTGTCTTAATTAAAGTATTTTGTGCCGGCCCGGCTCGGCCCGGCCCAGAATGATTAATCAAATTGGGTTGGCCCAATAAGATTTAAAAACAGCCCAAAACCTAAGGTTAAAATCCGGGTTGGTTTGAAACTGTGATGGATTGGGCTGCCTGATAGATTTTTAAAACTTCTTTCTCTTTTAGTTTATTTTATTTTTTTATTTTAATTTAAATTTATAAAAAGACGTTAGACGAGTACGGATTCGGAGTTTGACAAAAATGATTTTGGATATTTAAATTTTAGAAATAGATATTTATGTATTAATTAAGTTATACTACTGTATTTCTTAATATTTTAAAAATTATTTAAATTTAAAATATTTTTTTTTGTTCTAAAAATTCAGGTTGGGTCCAAATTAGTCCAATTTTTACAAGCTTAGGCCTACCATGATTAGGTCGCCAAATTACGACGAAAGTTTCGCATTTTTTAACCGGACTAGACTGGCTCGGTCTGGATTTCTTTCCGGGCCTAATTTTAAGGCCCAAGTTCAATTTTTTCAGTGCCGTGTCCAAATCTAATTTTTAACAATACGATTTTTAATATATATTTTCTATATTATAAATATTAATGGCATTCAATTATTTTACCATTATTTCCAATAAAATTGGAATTGAATCAGGTGCTAAATTGAATATTAACTCAACATATATTAAAGTTAATTACTTCTCGGAGTCTAATGATAGCAGAAATAGAAAATCAATATGGATTTGTACTTCGGAAAAACGTAGTATTGTTCCGTGATTATAACGTTTATGTGTGTCCGTGATACTTGTTTATGGCTGATCAATATCAATTAGAAAACAAACAGCACACAATATTTGTTAATCATGGTCAGTGTAACAACCTATATTTGGATAATTTTAATATAGAAGACATCCGCTAAATTTATCGTCAAGTATACAAAAGACTTAATGATTCAACAAACAAGAACCATAAATTATTCTCCCACATAGTCTTCTTTGGATAGTAATTCACAAGAAACTGAAAATTAAATCACAATTCTAATCCTATAAAATTATCAGTCTAACTGAGAATAAATAAGTACAAATTGATCTTCTTATTCTATTGAAACTCTATTTCTTATTTTTTACATATTTTTTCAAAAAAATAAATGCGTCTCATATTCATTATTTTTATATTATATACACAATTTTCTATACTTTATATAAATAAATTCTTTTTCCAGCAATCTCACAAAACAAGCACACGACTCGACCAATATATGATGGCATTAGTACTTAAAGTTTTACCATTACACATGGTAGTTAAGGGCCTAAGGGTGTGCTTAGTTGTAAAGTTTAAAAATTGAATTTAGAATTCTAAATATATACATTTTAATTTAGAATAATTATTTAATAGTACGATTTAAATATGCTTTAGTATAATATTTTAGATAAATATATATATATATATTAAAAGTAAAATCAGATCCAAACAATGACTTTGGATTATGTTAAATATATAAAAATGATGGGTTTTGCAACTTGTGTAGAGCCAATTAAGTTGATGACAGCCAATCAGAGAACACCAACTTTGACCACTTGCAAATTTTATAAGCACAAAATACAACTCTTCGGAACTCTGTTTGTTTTGGGATTTGGATTTTGAGCTGGAATTTGAATAGTAAAAATTTTGAATTTGAATAGTCGTATAATATGATATAAATAGATATTGATGTGATGTTTTGAATATAAAATTAATTTTTAGTATAATATAAAAAATAAAAAATAAATGTTTGATTTAATATTTTTGAAAGGAAAAAATTGGATGAATAGTATACTTAAAATTCACTTTTTCAAACAAACACACCCTTTTTACATTCTAAACTTTATAGCATACCATTGACAGACAAGAATACTTTAGGGTGTGTTTCTTTACCGAGTTTTTAGGGAAATTTGGGTTTTGATTCGATTTTTATTTGAATTTTGAGGTAAGTTTGAATTCAAATGTTTCTTTTGTGTTTAGATTTGGATTGGATTTGGAGAGTTTTGATGTATGTTTATTTGATGGTAATTAATATAATAATATAAATATATATTAATTTGTATAATTTAATTATAAATTTATATTATACCTACATATATATTTTAAAATTTTTATTTATTTATATTATAAAAAATTTTATTTTTTACAAAATAATATATATATTATTATATATATTATTAAATTATAATTATTATAATTTTTTTATTTATAATTTCAAAAAAAAAAAAAAGAATGAGACAGATGTTGTCAGCCTCAGTCACCCTTAATTAATATGAAATCTTTTCAATTATATTTTTGTTATTATATGTATAATGTAATTGTATTTGTAATGATATATTTATAATTTAAATAAAAATTAAATATATTTGGGTATTAACATATGATTATTTTACAAAAATAAAAATTTAATATTTTTTAATGTAACATAAAAAGATGATAAAAATAATATATATTGTGTAAATTGAATCTGAGGAATATTATTTTTTAATAAAATATAAAATTTTAAATGATCTATTAAAATTGAAATAAAGAGAGTATTAAAAAAATATCGCTACTCTCTTCTCTTCGGTCTCAAGAGGGTTGTCATTGACTTTTTTGAACACGAAAGGAGTATATAATTTTTTATTAAAAAAAATTAAGTCTATTCTTTTATAATAGATAATATAAAATATTTATATTTCAAAATTTAAATAAAAAAAAATAAACAGATATGTTTCTATTTAGTACAGAAAAGTACTACGCGCTCCGCATCCGTTGACCGTTGACCCAAAAAACCTCAATAAATACCCGCCAATTTCACCAACATCTCCATCACCCCAAATCCATTCTTACAATGGCTAATTCCTTCCACGGTCTCCCCTTACTATTTATGGCAACTCTAATCTGCTCCGCCGCCGCCCAAAACGGGTTGACTTTCCCAATCCGGCATGACCCGAAAACCTCCCAATTTTACACGACTTTCCAAATGGGCAGCAAACCCACCGCCGTCACCGCCGTCGTTGACCTCGGCGCACAATTCCTCTGGTTCTCCTGCGACGCCTACTCCTCCGCCACCTACGCCGCCGTCCCTTGCGGCAGCGCCGCTTGCGACCTCGCCCGCGGCATCGGCTGCGTCGGCTGCAACGGCCCGGCCCGGCCCGGATGCACCAACGACACCTGCGGCGCCTCCCCGTTTAACCCCTTCATGAACGTCATTCTTTCCCAGGTATTTTCAATATTATTATACTTGCTCCTCCTCGACAATCTATTCATTTTTTTTCATTTTAGTTTGTCTAATAACAAAATATTTATTTCATTTTTTTTAATAACTATACTGTCTACCTAATATTACAAATACCCTTTTAATTTATAATATATTAGACAAATATCATTACGTTTATATCATACAATACTAATAAGGTTAGTTTAGTGTTTTTTTTTTACTTTTATTTCTACTGTATTAATACTAATATTCTTAAAATTACGTGTAAAAAGTAAATGGATAGATAGATATAGAGCGAAGAGAATATTAAATTAAATTAAAAGTAATCATACACTAATACCAAAATAATTTTAACTTTTTATTTAAATTACTAAATATCATTACACATTCAATTATTTTATATAAAAGATCAAATGGCAAAAATGTAAAAAACATCTTTCACACTTCCACTAAATAATAAAACACTACTCTCTCATTCCCAAAATAATAATTTCATTTTATGAGTTTGTCCGCTCCAACCTCAATAACAATAACAATAATCTAATTTATATTTTTCTGGAACTGCCTCATAACCTTTTTTTTTTAAAAACAATTCCCATTTTTTTACCATAATTATATAAAATAGTAGTTTTTTTTTTAAAAAACTTTTTTCACATTATCAATATAATTTATGTGTTTATCCAAATATTATTATTTTTTAATTTACTAACAAATCACAAAAGAATCATTTCAAAAGTGACTATGGCAGTATAAGAATAAAAAGTTTTTACATAAAAAAAAAGTACACAAAACTGTAGGCTCTATTTACACAATCAACTTTCACTTATTTAATATTATTCATTTTTTTCTAAAAATATCAATTAATTAGAAAATATCCAAAATATTTAAAACTCCAAAACTCTCCGAAAAGCTCTTACTAAACATAGCCTTATCATTAATTAGATTATACCGTTATTATTTCATTTTGTCCTATTTATATTACAATTTTGAATTTTTACAAAATGTAACGCCAGGGGTATTACGAGGACACTTTGTTGTCCGGCGGCGCCGTCGCGGCGCGGCGGTTCATATTTTCTTGCATGACGAACGACTACCTCGTCGGCCTCGCCAGGGGGGCCACCGGCATGTTGGGTCTCGCCAGGACAGCAATTTCAATGCACAAACAGATCGCTGACAAGACCGGCCGGCCGGATAAATTCTCCCTCTGTTTTCCGGCGGCCGGCGCCGGAAAACTGACGATCGGATCGCGGCAATCGGAATATTCCGGCCCGCTCAAATCGACGGCGCTGATCATAAACCCCGTCAGCACGGCGCCGATTTACACAGAAGGCGACGCCTCCGATGAGTACTTCATCGGCGTCAGCGCCGTCGCCGTCGCCGGCGAGGTCCTGCCGGTGAAAAGCTCGTATTTCACGATCGACAAAAATGGCGTCGGAGGTACGAAGATCAGCACGATACAGAACTACACGGCGGTCCATACTTCGATTTACAAGCCGTTGGTTAGGGCGTTTAACAAGGCGGCGGCGGACCGGAAAATCAGGAGCGCGGCGGCGGTGGCGCCGTTCACCGCCTGTTACCGGTCGGAGACGATTTCCAGGGGGGGCGCCGGCGCCGGCGAGCTGAATTTGCCAGCGATCGACCTGATTCTGCCCGGAGAAGATGTTTATTGGAGAATCGGCGGCGGGAATTTGATGGTGGAGGTTGATCGGAAAACGTCGTGCCTGGCGGTGGTGGATTCCGGGCGGCGGCCGCGGACGGCGGTAGTGATCGGAGCGCATCAGCTGACGGAGAATTATTTGGAGTTTGATTTGGTTTCTTCTGTGGTTAAGTTCAGTTCTTCGCTTTTGTCGCATAACACGAGTTGCTCTCGAATTTAAAATTAATTAATTAATTAATGGTCATTAATAATTGTAGTTTTATTTTTAATTGCAAGTTTAATGAATAAAGAATTCAAGAATTTGGACGGCTCAGATTTGATCGTGGCATTTATTGGATTGCGTGGGCCAAGCCAAACTTATACAGTATGTAGTGCATACAGATCGAAGGGTTGATTCGATTCGAAATTATTGGATTCAAATTTTTATAATTAAAAAGAAAAAAAGAAATACACACTACAATTTATCATTTTTTCAAATTGACAAAAATAAAATACTTTCATATTTTAACATTAATAACGATTGTTGATTTAATTATATTATATCAATATTTATAGAAGTCTATCTATAGGTTTCTATTTTAATTATTGAAAATATCCGTTTGCCGATAAATAATTAATAATTATTTTTAAATGAGACTATCATTCTACATCCGATAATTATGAATAATAACTTAGTTTTTAAGTTGTCTATAAAATTTCAACTCATATAGTACCAAAGTATATTGTTCTCTTAAAATAGATATAACCCATTAACCTCATTTCACTGGTATATTCAATTTGGAATATATCCGTAGATCCTCCAATTTTGAGATCTTTTCTACAGTTACTGAGTATTTTTGTTTATGATGTTGATTTTGTTTAGAATCTTAAAATTATGTGTCAGGATTATATAGTCCTATCTAGATCACAGTGTCATGTTTCTCCTGAGCTATATTTTCAACTGTCTTTCGAGTTGTGTTATTTTCAATTTCGTTAAGAGTTCTATTGTTTCCGACTCCAATGAGAGTCTTGTTATTTCGACTCCAGTGAGAATTCTGTTTTCGAATCCGTTTCGAGTAAGTTTCCGACTCTAATTTCAATTGATGGTCATGTTTTTTATTCTAATAGTTATGGTTGCATTATCTTTAATCTCTTTTTTCAAATTCAATTTTTTTTTTTTTTTTTGTTATAACATTTGAGTTTGAGATATATATTGGGATATTTTAGATACTTAATTTAGATTTAAATTTATTTTTATCCCTAAATTAAAATTTTTAATTTAAGTCTATCAAATCTATATATCAAATCTATTTACAGACTTTTATTATAATTAAATAATATAAATTCTAATCGTGTGTTTTTTTGTGAGATTTTTGAAAAAAAAAATTATATAAAATAAAAAATTATGTAAAAAATATAAAAATAATTGACATGCATAATTTATTAATTTTTTTAGAAATATATGTAAAAAAAATAAAATTACAAAGAAACATACAAATCTATACAAAATTTCTACTCACAGTTTTCAAAGACACATTTAAAAATATGTATTATCAACTCGTTTTTCATACACACTGGGCGCTGACTGTAGAATTCTTGCTAGTGACGTGGCAACAATTATTTAATTATTCTCTATCCCATAATAAATTATTTATTTTTTTATTTTAATTTATTTTGTAATAAAATATTTATTTTTTTTTAGTAACTGTACTTATATAACCTAATATTGCAAATACTCTTATAATTTACAATATATTACACAAATATTATTATTCAAATATCATTATCTTTATATCGCACAATACTAATAAGATTATTTTAGTTATTTCTACTTTATTCCTACTATATTACAACAGAATACTAATATTTCTAAAACTTTATTAAAAAAGCAAATAAATACTTAATTAAATTTCATGCAGAAAAACAAATTGATACGTAGTTATGGACCTGAGAGACAATGGCTGAAATGGAAAACCGAATATGCTGTGGAACATCCTTTTCCCGGTTTCACACCTGCATCAATTCCATTTTTTTTTAAAAAAAATATCATCGTATTATTTTAAAAAATACATTAATAAGTTAATAGTCCAACAAAATTGTCATTTTCGATAATATAAATAAAGTTTAGAAATATGGTAGTGGGATGGTTGTTACTACAACTTTAAATATTCCGATTCATTTGCACGATAAAAACTATTGATAAGCAGTGCCCATTATGATACGATATTTCATTATACTTACACAATAATAATAATAATAATAATAATAATAATAATAATAATAATAATCCCTTCGTTCTATGTAATATGGGTGTATTACTGTAAATACGGGAATTTAAGTAAAATATAATTAGTAAGTAATTAAGAAGTGTATTAGTAAAAATAATTATAGATTAAGATTAAGATAAGTAAATAGTTTAATTAAAATTAAGAAAATTATAAAATTTAAAATTTAAAATGCGATTAAAGACATAATTATATTTTCAAAAATAAAAAGGACAAGATATATAGGACGGACAAAAATAGAAAATAGAGACAAATTATGTGGGACAGATGGAGTAATAATAATAATAATAATAATATTCTCTCTGTCTCATATTGAATGTCTGGGTCACCGTATATACGGAAATTTAGAATAAATATAATTAATATATAATTAAAAATATAGTAGTGAAAATAATTATCTTATAATATAAATAATTATAGATTAAAGTTAAGATAATTAATTAATTTAATTAAAACTAAAAAAATTAAATTAGAAAATTTAAAATGAGATTAAAGTGTATAATCATTTTTTTTAAAAAAAAAAAGTGACAGTAAATGTGAGACGGACAAAAACGAAAATATGGACATGGTAAATGGGACGGAGAGAGTAATAATAATAATAATAATAATTATTATTATTATTATTATTATTTTATTTTTAAATTTATTTGTAATGAAATTATCATTTTATATTAAACTGTATCTAATTCTTTTCTTCTTTAATGAAAATAAAGAATGATATCCCATGGTTATTCTTTATTTAAAAAGATTCTAACAAGTTTTTTTCTTAAAAACAATATAAAAAATTAAACCAATTAAGGATGTTTTTACTTTAGTTTTATTATGATTGTTTTAAAATTCTATTATATTTATTACTTTAAGTATTTTTTTTTCAGAATAATTAGTAAATAATTAAAAAATATATTATTAAAAATAATTATTGTATAGTAAAAATAATTATTGATTAAAATTAACATAATTAAATAGTTTAATTAAAATTAAAATATTCTAAAATTTAAAATATGATTAAAATATTTAATTATATTTTTTAAAAAAAGAAATGACAAATTATGTGGGACATACATAAATAGAAAATATAGACAAATTATGTGAGACGGAAGAAATAATATTTTTTGTGTGAATATTAGCTAAACATACTTATTTTATTTACTGTAAACAATTTTATATATTTATAATTTTATTACATATATTTTAATAAATAATAATAATTAATATATTGTTATCTTTTTTATATTTTTTTATTAATTTTTTAATAAATTTATCATTATATCACATCTTTATTTTTTTTTATTTACTCAATTTTAATATTAAAATATTTTTATCTTTTAGTTCTCAAGTTCAATCAAAATTACATAAATTTTTGGACCGATGAATTAATACTTTATAAAGTAAAATAATTTTTTAAAAATATACATATGTATATAAATAAAATAAACTTTTGTTTTAGTTTGATTGTTTTAATGGTATTATTATATAAAATAATATACTGTCTTCGTCCAATATAAAAAATAATATTTATTTTTTACATTATTATATTTAATATTAAAAATATTTTTATATTTATTTAATTTACTCAATAAATATCATTATATCTGTATCATAAGAAATTAATAAAAATATTTTTATTTTTTTTTTAATTAATATTACATATTAATATAATAATTAATATTAAAATATAATTAAAAAAAATTTCGTGGTACTCTTTTTAGACGGAAACAGTACTATTTTTTTTACATAATTACAAATTGTACTATAATAAACCAATAAATTTCCGAAACAAACATCGCCTTAAATACAATACTTATCTTTTAATAGCTGCGGTCAATTATCGCAAAATCCTTGTCATCAAGAAGTCACTGAGCTTATCCAAACAAATCCCCCAAGGGCAAAATAGGTATTTCATCATATCAGTAAATAATACTCACATAGATCCAAATCCAATCCCAGACTCAATAAACAGCGTTAGTTCGCCGCACACACTTCAGATCTTCCTTCTTCGTCAATGGCTTCCATTAACCTCATCTTCTTCCTCTTCTTCCTCGTCTTGACAACCTCGGCTTCTCCGAACCCTATCTTACCAAAATCCGGCTTCATTTCCGCCGTCAAAGATCCCTCCAGCCTCCAATACGTCGCCAAACTTTCCCTTGGCGACGGCACCGCCGTGAACCTCGTCGTCGATTTAAACAGCCCCCACGTTTTAATCCACGGCGGCGGTGGAGTCCCCGTCGGAAGCTCCTCCCTCGAATGTGCAATGGCGGAAAGCGTACGGACAAACCCTAATTCCAAGGCTTGCAGTGTACGGACAAGAAATCCAATTTCGAATATTCCGATGTCCGGCGAGCTGCACGAAGGAAAGGTAGCTTTCGAAATGTGGGATGGAGTTTCGTTGACTAATAATAATAGTAATAATGGCTTGGCCAAGATTGACCCTTTCTTGTTTGTTAAAAGTCAAATGACCTCTAATGGTGCAAAAGGGGTTTTAGGGTTAGGTCAATCTAGGATTTCTCTAATGTCCCAAATCTTTGTGGCGTTTGGGTTCTTGAAAATGAGGTTTTCTTTGTGCTTATCGTCGATTAGTCAAGGTGGGATTTTTCTTGGCGGGAGCCCTAATTTTGTTTCGAAATTTTCGAGCAAGATCAAACACACCCCTTTCGATTATTCCGAGGATTTCGGGGGGTACTATGTAAGAGTAAATTCGATCAAGATTTTCGATAAGAAAATGGATCTACAATTGGGTGACGACGAGCCCTTTATTGCAGCAAGATTTTCGACGATTGCTCCATACACTGTAATGGAAACCAAGATTTACAACAAGTTCTTGGAATCTTACGTGGCTTCGGCTGTTTTAAGGAATTTGACTTTGACTTCTCAGGTGGGTCCATTCGGGACGTGTTTTGTGAAGGGTGGGGAAGATGGATTCCCAGCCGTCGATCTTGTGCTGCAGAGTGAGATGGTGGTGTGGAGAATGGACGGTAGGGATTTGTTGGTGCCTGTGGGAGACGACGTCGTTTGCTTGGGGGTTGTTAATGGAGGGTTTAGCCGACGGGGGTTTATTACAGTTGGGGGTTTTCAGTTGGAGGATCGTGTTCTTGAATTTGACCTTGGAAATTCTATTCTTGGATTTTCTGATTCGATTGGGGGCAAAACTTGTAATGATTTTGGATTTGGGTTTGATTTGTCTGAGAAATTTTCTGAATCTTTTGTTGTATAGGACACGTTTTGGTGAGAAATTCTTGTAGTGGGTTTGGAGGGTTTGAGTTCATTTGGGTTGTAAAGTTATGGCAAGAAATGAATAGATAGATTGGGTTGTATTGGTTTGGTGATTTTAAAGAATTTTTGTACTAATTTCCATTTTTTTTTGGTCTATTTAGAATATTAATTAAACTCTTATTTTAATTCTATATTTTATTAAAAATATTACATAAAAAACTTATTTTATATAATTAACAATCAAACTTATAATTCTTTGTGTTGAAGATCCAAATCAAAACTAAAACTTCAAACAAAGGACACCCTTTAATCTGAAAATAATATAAAAAAAATAAAAAAAATAAAATAAAATAAAATAAAATAATACTAATAATAATAATAATAATAATATGAAAAAATGCATATTTATCACATCAAATAATGCTTCATCCAAAAACACCTCAGATTAAAAAATTAAAAAAAGTAAAAAAATTTAAAACTAAGACCTCACAAAATATGGGCCAAAGATCAATAATAATAAAAAAAATACTATAAAAATATTGAGAGACAGAATCCATTAAGAAATGAAAGCCCAACTAACTGTTTATATCATGCATATAAAAAATACTATCTATGTAGTTCAATTTTATTTTTATTTCATATACTCTCTACGTCCGGAACTATAGTCTTGGTTCTGTTGGAGTGAGATTTAAGAAATATTGATATTATATTGACAATGGATAAAAAGTATAGGTAAAAGATATTTTTACCCTTGTGAGTGTATTAATGTAAAAGATAGTGGCAATTGTGTAATAATAATAAAAGAATAAGGATAGTTATACATATTGTTATTTATGAAAATAAGACTATTATTTTATGATGGACAAAAATAGTACACAAGACTATTGTATTGAGACGAAAGGAGTATAATTTACATAGAAAATAAGAATAAAAATTAAATGAAATTATAAAAGAAATGAAAACTAAATTGAACGAAGAAGAGAATAATAGGATTAATAGGATAATAATCCATTGAACTAGTTATATGAACTTACTAAATATTTATAGGGTAAATATTTTTAAACTAGATAAATTACATTATTTATAAGAATATCATGAAATTTATTACTATTTCTGTCTGCCACTAACTTGGTAAAATTACCTTGCTAACATATTTGATATCAATATATTTTTACAAAATAGATAATGTATATCCCAAAAATAATATAATACAATATACTCCCTCCGTGAACTTTTTAACGTTCTATTTGATATTAACGGTGTTTTTAGACAATAAGAGTTTTTGTTATAAAATGAAAAATTTATCCTTTATTTTATGTATAAAAAAAAAGTAAATAAAATAAGAACAAAATAGTAAATTTTGTGTATAAAAATAAAAAAAAAAAAGACGATAATTTTTAGACATTCCAAATAGAAAAGTAGGACATTAATTTGTGTACGAATGAAGTATATAATTACATGTGTCATAAATCATAATATATTATGATATCAGCACACAATAAATATATTAAACGATAAAATGTATATTTCATACAACACATGCTCCTATATCATACAATGTTGTACATAAAGCGTGTTAGTTTGTAAGACTTTAATATACTTCTACTATTTACTAAAAAAAATTATTCAAAAATAGTAAATTAAATATTTATTTTTTATTTTTTTTATATTATACTAAAATATATAAATATATATTTATATCATATTATATAATTATCTAAGTTCAAATTTGTTATTGTTAAAATCCCAAACAAAAACACACCCAAAACATATTATCTTTTTCATAAAAAGATTTTGTATTTAAGCGATGAAAATTACAAAAATATACTCCTTTTGTCCCATAACAAAGTATCCATTTTTTTTATTTTGGTCTGTTCATAATAAAGTATCAATTTTCTTTTCTAGTAAATGTATTATCTATATAATATCACAAATACTCTCACAACTTCTAATATATTACACAAATATCGTTATCTTTATATCACATAATACTAATAAGGTCATTTTAGTCATTTCTACTTTATCCCTAATATATTCTAATATAATACTAATATTTCTAAAATTCCGTGCAAAAAGCAAATTAGTACATAGTTATGGGACGGAGGGAGTATATTTTAGCGGCGGACGAATAAGTATTTAATTTAATCTTCTATTGGACGTTATTTATTTATTTATTTAATATGATTGGAGATTTAATAAATTGGCGTGAACTTATAATATAAGAATTGACGAATGGAAACGTATAAAAGTGTTGATGGGGTGAGTCATGTCCTACAAACTTACTCCAAATGGCCAAATAAAAGTAGACAAATTTTGTGATTAAGTTAAGCTAAATGTTGCATATATATATATATATATATATACAATAATTCTTTTTTTACTATACAATTTTGTATATATATATATATATATTTTATAAAATAACAATTTTCTAATAAAGTATCACACATCTATTATTTAAATTAAAATTAAAATGTAAAATCAAATAATTATTTTAAGTTAAAATATTATAACTCAAAATTAAAACTCTACAACAATAAACAAATATTATATCTGTCCCGCAATAAGAGCATCATTTGTTTTTTTTTTTTATATAAATTTTTGAATATTAGTATTATATTGATTTATAATAAAAAAAACAAAATTACCTCTATTAGTATCGTATAATATGAAAGTAATGACATTTGTGTAATATATTATTGTAAGTTGTAAAACTATTTATTATGTTAAATAATTAATACAATTACTAAATTAGAAAACCGTATCATTGTTTTGAAATGAATAAAAATAGAAAATAATATCATTCTTGTGAAAGGAAGAAATATATTTATTATATTTTAAAATATATATGTATATGTTTTTATAGCATTAGCTTATGTCAATTATTAACCAAAATTGTATTTGTGTTTTTTCATTCATCTCTATTATATAAAATTTTATTTTTTTATAAAATAATCTTCATATAATATAATTAAAGAAAAAAAAGTCTAAAAAACAAAAAAAGAAAACATGGTGTTTTGTAGGGATGGAGAAATTTACCGGACATACCGAAATACTAATTTATCGTACCGTATCGTGTCGAAAACACCGAAAATTTTGGTACGGTATGAATATTTCGGTACGGTATCAGTATAAATTTTCGGAAAGTTCGGTAGTTCGGTATAATACCGTACCGATATTATTTTTATTAAATAATTTAATTATTAATATTTTTTTAAAATCATAACAAAAAATATGTAAATTATTGAAAATTTATTGATTTTTTCATAATATTTTTGTGGTGGAGAATAGTGATATTTATTAATATTTTTTAATTATTTTGAAATTTAAAATTATATTTTTCGTATAATCGGTATATATCGGTATCTACCGAAATCAAAATATTCGGTATATACCGGCATCGTACCGAAATTGAAATTTTCGATATAAACGGTATATATTTTAGTCATACCGAAAAATTCGATACGATATCGATATCAATCGATATTTTCAGTTCGGTACAATATACTATTGCTAAAAGCTATGGGCGTCACCAATCAGTATTTTATTACAATTAGGCATTAGGGTTTGTTTGGTTTTGACTTTATTTTAAAACTCACTTACAAATATTAGTTATGCAATTATTGATGGTCTTCTTTGTAAAATATATTATTTGGTGTCATAAAATATTACATTCTAAAATATAATCAAATATTAAAATAAAAAATAAAATAAAATTTAATAAGGACATTGAATTGATCCGGATGTGATAAGGACATTTTTTCTCTCACAATATATTTTATCAAATATTATTTTAATACCAAATTTAAATCAAACTTTTCCAAATTTAACCAAAATAAACACATAGTATACCTGTGACAATATGTGACTTATAACACACTAATCAAATCAATTTATAAATAAAATACTAGAATTAATGGGAAAATGCAATTTAAATATAATAAAAAGGTATCTTATTGTTTTAATTATTTAAATAAATAATGTATAAAAATAGTAATCTATCTCATTTATTGTTGCCGCAACGATAATATATTTTATATACATGATATTTACGTTTATGTATATAAAATGATACGTTGAAGATTCACAGTGCAACTATAGCTAAGTTTACATATATTTTTAGTAGTATTATTTATTACTAGAGATTTTTTTTTTTAAAAAAAAATAAAAATAAAAAAATAATAAAATTATACTATTGAATATATATTTTTACAAAAAATAATCAACAAACTTTTAAATTTTTTATGATTTTTTTTTTTTAATAAAAATTTTAAAAACTTCTATCTACAAATAAATAAGGTCTAGATAGCACACAGGAAAGCCATCCAAAATTTCCCTAGTTTGGCGACCTGAAATTAAATAAATTATTTATATTAAATTAAATTATTATTATTATTATTATTATTATTATTATTGCTTGTCGTGAATAAATTGAACTAAAGTTGATTTGAATGAAGTAACAGGACTTGTTGTTCTTTTGGCAATTTTATTTTAAAATATTTTTATTATTTAATTTTTATAATATTATATAAGATATTATTCTATTCATTCATGGTATAGATTTATATTCATTTCCTAAATTACAAAAATATTCAGTATAAATTTAACTAAAGAATTTATTCAGTACTACTATTATTTATCTAAATTATTGTTAACATGGTGTACACGTGGCGGAATCTTGCTTGTTTGTAAAAATCTAGAATACACCCGCGACACAGTCGATGCCTTCTCCCGTTGTAACTGTGACACGTCACACTTAATGGGTCCCACTCAAGTTGGGATAAGGTGGAATTATTGCCATGCCCATTTCACGTGGGCCCCACTTCGCTTTGCCTATTTTAGAATCACTCCCAATATTTACCACTAATATCAGATTTTCCCCCTAACTTTGATTAGTTTTCTCCAACCTAGGCCTAAAAAATATATTGAGATATTTTGAATTTATTTTTAATAAAAATAAAAATTATACTCTCTTTATTATAAGAAAAAATAATATGTTGACGTTTTTTCTCTGGCAGGGAGGAAACGTAAACTAGATAATTCGAAAGGGGTGAATTGCAAAATTGTCTAGATTCTCTTTACGGATGACGTGGGACTAGAGAATATGTAAAAAGACTAATATGCCCTCTTCTTCTTTCTATAAAGTCAAAATATTTTCGTCACAACTGCTTCTCTCTGCATTCCATTTTCCGGAGCCTTCATTGCAGAGTGAGAGTGAAGCTATACGTACATCTTTGTGTGTATCTATAGATATATATCGGAGAGAGAAATGCTGGGAGTATTTAGCAGCTCGATAGTATCGCCGCCGGAGGAGTTGGTGGCAGCCGGCAGCAGGACCCCGTCTCCCAAAGTTTCCGCGGACAAACTGGTCGGTCGGTTTGTGGAGAGGAATTCGTCGGCGGTGTCCGTGCAGATCGGCGACGATGTCAAGTTAGCCTACACGCACTTCAAGGAGTCTGCGTTACGGCCGAGGTAAGTGTAGTATAAACGTTGTTGATGAGGAGCAGTTTATGATTTTTTTGAAATTCCATATTTCTGAGGCAATTGTGTGGAGATTGAGAGGTGAATTGACGTTCGGAGTGATTAATTTAACTTGATTTTGCGATCGAGGTAGAACAACTGGAATTAGTTAGAGAAGAAGCTATTTTACCACTTCCTAATTTTTTAAAGCTGTTTTTTCGAACTTAGCTATTATCAGTGAAGGAAATCGCAAGTGATTTGATCTTTTTGTTATCAATTTCTGTATATCTCTGTACAGTGATGGTTGTTCGATCCAGCACAGTGATTTGAAGGTTAAATGAATAGCAGAAAAGGAGTTGTTTCTTCGTTTAATAGCTTTAATTTTGTATTGGAAGAAAATCAATTAGGAGAACACTTCAAACTTAGAGATCTAGGACACTGATCGAATCATGGATGGCTTATCTTGAACAACTTGAATCTTAAATCCTTTCATCTCTTCCTTCATCAACACTTAGATTACAAACAACACTGTGTTCATACTTCATAGGCTAACGGTTCTGAAAAGTTGCAGAGTGTAAGGATAATTGTTTTGGTATGGCACAGACCGCCAGCAGATACCCTAAGCATTTAACTTGGTTAATTAGTAGATGGAATCTATTGAAGAAAAAAATATCTGCCAGAGAAGGTAGTTGGGGGTTGATAAATATAATAAATTGAAACCTAAACAATAATACACCATCCTTAAATAATGTTGTTTGGTGTATGTAAGGTCATCTGTCCAACATATTTTGATTGAACCTAATTCTGATGCAAGACTTCTTATCTTAGTTCTCAAATCAAGAATGTCAAAATCACCTAATGAATTGTTATAACTTAAGCACACATATGTTCCCAATTCCTAACCATTTGATGAACTTGCAGATCCTTTGCTGTGAAGGATGAAATATTCTGCTTGTTCGAAGGGGCACTCGACAACTTGGGGAGCCTCAAGCAGCAATACGGGCTAGCGAAATCAGCGAATGAAGTCCTTTTGGTGATTGAAGCATACAAGGCTCTTCGTGACCGGGCGCCTTACCCTCCAAGTCATGTTGTTGGGCACTTAGAAGGCAACTTCGCCTTCATAGTTTTTGACAAGTCTACTTCTACTTTATTTGTTGCCACTGTGAGAATCTAATCCTTTCAATTGGGTAGGTAGTTGATCAAAAATCTATGTAGTGGAACACTAACAAATTCAACTTCTTGGCAGGACCAAGATGCTAAGGTTCCTCTCTACTGGGGTGTCACTGCTGATGGATGTCTTGCATTTGCTGATGACATAGACTTACTCAAAGGAGCTGTTGGAAAGTCCCTTGCATCTTTCCCCCAAGGTGAGACTTGTGTTTGTTTGAGTAATTGGATTTGATAATTGTTTGATTTAATATAAATAGATATTCATTAGATATTTTGAATATAAAATTGATATTTACTACTCCCACAGTCCCTAATCAAAAGTCCATTTGGTATTTATAGTAAATTAAGAAACAATACTATTTTACTCCCTTTATTAAGAAACAATACTATTTATAGTCATTCAAATTTATTTTCACTTTTCTTTTTGAATTGTCATACAAATTTATTTTCGTTCATTTTTAGTAACAAAATACCGTTTTTTCTACTTTTTCATTATACAAAAAAATAAAAGTTTCTATTTTGTCTTTTTTTTTTCTTAAAATCCGTGTCCGGTCAAATTAGCACACAATTGGATGACGGAGGAAGTATCAGTTAGTGGAAGTGTGTAAAAGTTTTTGATATTTTTGTCATTGACTTTATGTATAAAGTAATTATATGTGTAATGATATACTTGTAATTTAAAAGTAAAAGTTAAAAGGGTATTTTGTTATTAGTACATGATTATTTTTTCTAAAATAGAAAATAGATACTTTGAATTGAGACAGAAAGAAAATGATAAAAAAACAAGTAATTTGAATTAAAACGAAGACTGAATATTGATTGAATAGTGAAGAATCTTAAAAAATCGACGAAAATAACTGATAAACTCAATTCTTGCTTGATTCCACAGGATGTTTCTACTCAACCGACATCGGGGAGCTCAAGAGCTACGAAAATCCCAAAAACAAGATCACTGCTGTCCCGGCGAAAGAGGAAGAAATCTGGGGAGCTAAGTTCATGGTAATGAAATGAAGTTTGCATTCCCAAGTTCCAACCCTCGTCGAAAACACACCTAAATTCCCATCCGAACAATAAAAATCCAACACGGGACCGTCAGAAAACAGTCCGTCCAATATCTTTATATCCATTAATGTTGTCTCTTTTTTTTTTTTTTGTGATGATTTTCAGGTTGAAGGGCCAAGCATGATTGCAGCCACAAAGTAGAAAAGATGACTTCTTTTCCCTTCCCTAAGATGTCTGAATGATAGTTTCATATGTAGTAAGTAAGTAAGTAAGTAAGTAAGTAACCTCTGTTCCATTGTAATAAGGTGTGTGTGTAAATTAATGGAGTGAAAGTCTTATGGTGCTTCCTGTGATTGATCTATCTGTGCCTGCCCGTAAAGTAAATAATAAAAGTTTTTATGTGGGGGTGGGGTGGGGTGGGGGTGGTGAAGTTTTCTTTACTTTTCTTGCAACTTGTGGTGGTGTTTGTTTGAGTTTGTGGTTTTCTTGTTTCTTTCTGCCCATTTTGTGTGTAATGATAGTGCTTTTTTTTTTATTTATTTTTATTGTTTTTTAAGTGTTGTTGGATGGGATCACAGGTTCAGACCAATCCAATTTAGCTACACATCATTTTCCCATCATGAAATATGACATAGGCTTTCTTTACAATACATTACCTCAAAGATTGGGATAAAATCCGATCTTATCCTATTGCTTAATAATGGAGTTTTGAAATAGTTAAAAGTTGAATACGTCGTAAGGGTTTGTTTTAGACATGAAGTTTTGGGAATTTTGGAGTTTCGAAAAGTTTTATGTATATAATAAAGGTTTTGTATTTAATGCTACACATATATATATATATATTTGATGTGGGACAAAAGAGTTTGGTGACTTTGATGAGTTGGGACTGGTTAACTCAACACTAAGCATAATATTTTTGTAATCTATACGGATTTATGGGTGTGTAATGAATTTGGATTGCACCTAACAATATATTTTTATTAATTAATAAAATATTATTTTTTTTTTTTTATCTCAATACACTTACAATTTTTTTTTTCTGTATTTTGTAATATTTTTGAAATAATATATAATTAATTATACATCACTTTATGTCATTTGCATAATTTTATTTTAAACAGAATAGATCAAATGCTGAATTTAAAAAATTTCAACACGTGTACTGATGTTTAAAAAAATATTATGTATTATTATTATTTAATTACATAAATTAGAATAATTAAATTTTATGTTAGAGTGCTGAATAATTTTATTTACCATTTGATTCACACCATTCACTTGTTATATAGAATAAACAAAAATATCTTTATTTTATGAAAAAAAAAAAAAAAAAGTAATTGTATTATATAAAAAAATAAAAAAATTTAGTTATCTCATGAAATTAAAAAAAATAAAATTAAATATTTGTAGGGAAGGACCAAATAAAATAAAATAAATACATTTCTCTAGCGCCCCTTAAGTAAAGAGACCGTTTATACGCACAATAAATAGATCCCTAATTTTTATTTAAAAATAAAAAAATTAAATAAAAGGGACGTATATAGCATCCGTATTGAAGGAAAATTTTGATCTTAGAGTTAGGCAAATGCATTTATGGTTGTAATTAATAATGAATTTTATCTCAAAAAGCGAACAAACCATTACGAGAACCGGGATCTCAGAACCAGATAAATCTACACCATTCGTAATACACGACCCGCTTCGTAACCCGATTCGGCGTCGAGATCCACGGAGTCGTTGAGAAATACTGTGACTCCATTAAAAAACCTACTCGAGGGTTGATGGCGAAGTCAAAGAATAAAAGACAACACAGGCGACTCAGGGAAGGGAGACGTCCGTAATCGAAGCATACTTCGAAATTCCAGACCGGAGGAATCCACCTACGCCAGTCGATTTTCGGTAGTCTTTGTTCGATTTCAGTAAGAGCTCCGCAACCAGTCGTAGCTGATCGGGATTTCTGCCTTCCTCTGGTAAAAGATTTCTTCCTTTTTTTTTTTTTGAGGATTTTATGATTTCTTTGTTCTATGATTGAAATTGATTCGCCTGCGGTTGCTTGATTTTATGTACGGCGGAAGTTTTGTGTTAGTTTTGTTGTGGAGGTTTCGATATTTCCCCCTTTTTGTTTGGTCTTGGCTTTGGATGTGATAGTAGTGTTCTTTGTTCGTTTTTTTTCTTTGATTTTATTGCGATAGAAATTTGTGTAAATTCGATATGTTGATATGATCTGAAATTTTGTTGGTGAACATTCGTGAAATTGGATATGTCGGTTTGAGCTGAATTTGTGTATGTGGAAGAAACAAGGATTCCAGTTTGATATTGTTGCTAAATCGACGGCATAAATACTAAAAATCTTTAATCTGAAAAATAATTGGAAAGATTAGAGTGAAACGAAAGATTAAAGATTGGTTCGGGACAAATCAATACCTCTGAGGCTAGAATTTCACTAATCCAAAGTAATTGCGACTAGGGTAATTCTTGCCCAAGAATTTATCACAAACCAAGTAAAATCGTGTCTTTTTAATCTTTTGTATTACTTAAGGATTAAAGATTTATAGTATTTTTTGGGTATATTTCACAACAGAAATGAACATCATGAGCTGTTGGTTTCAAGTAATGATATCTTTTTGTTTAAAGGTTGTTCTAGAAATGATCTTAAATCTTTGTTTGCTGACTTATGATCAAATTGTTTGGAATTTAGAAGTGAAAGAAATCATTTCATCTATGAATAGCGGTCAAATTGGCGTGTTACCAAATCGTTTTCCTATTGCTATAGCCGTAGATATAAGAATTTTGAAGGAGGCGATAAAAAGGAAAAATTGATCGGAGAGGTTGTAGTAGATTGATTTTTTTCTTTGTGGTTTTTGGGGATCAACAGGTGATGTTCCGTGATCTTCGTTTAAGAATAGCTCTCTATGAACGGTATCGAATTGGCATGCTCTAATTATGTTGTGCTTATGAATGTGTTGGATAATTTGGTTTGGTTCGATTTTTTTGTTAGCAAAGTGTTGGATATGTATAGGCTAACCAAGTTCGATTTAATTGATATGTTGGAAAAGTGTTAGATATGTGTAGGTTGATCAAATTTGAGCCGAACTATCTGTTAGGAACATGTCAAATAATATTCAGAGAGTTGAAAATTGCATATTACATACATTGATCTGTATTGGTACGGCCGGTTTGTTATTATTCTTAAATTACGGTATGGATAAATCATAAGGTCGATTTCTTGTTAGAACAGATTATATAATGTATTTGTAAAAAACCATACGTTTTGGGTCTGTTTTTCCCTCGATTGTTATCTAATTTTCAGTTTTAGCTACTGAGGTTTTTTTTCATAGAGGAAATGTTTCCTTGTGCTGCTTGTAAACTTATAATTTTCACAGAATTTTCCGCGTCATCGTTCATATATTCTAAGTTCTGTAACGATGCAGCGATTCTGTTACTTTTGTTCATCGGTTCTTGATCTGATGCTTGACCTTATGATTTAGGTGTTCTTAATTAGGGACTGCTCACTTTGAAATTTGTTTTGTAATTTGTGTTTAAATAGTGATTGAATGTGACATTTTGTGAGAAAAAAATAACGTATTTTTCTTAGGGACTTCGGAAATTCTATAGCAAAGAACAGTAAAAAAGCTCGACTTTGCTGTTTCCAGTCTTTATGCTTTCGGTTAAAAATGTTCGAAAATTATACAAAGTCTCGGCTAACATAAAACTGTAAGGGTGTGTTTGTTTGTGGGTTTTAGTTTTTGGGTTTGGATTTATGAAAAGTAATTATTTGATATGATGTTTTTGGAGAGAAAAAAGAATCTGAATAGTAAAAATATAAAAATATAAATATGCTGTAAAACCCACAAAAGAAAGATTGTGTTCCCGAATTCATCTAATCAAAATTCCGGTCGTTTTTCAGAAACTCAGCCGCATATAAAATGGAGCAGCAAGGAAACGGACAGGCTCCCGGAGGCAGTTCTGCGCAGATGCCGTACGGAATAAATCCGTATCAAGCGACTCAAATGACGGCACTTTCTTCTCCGGCATCCGCCGCCTCGACCCAATCTCCCCAAACTGCCGGCTTTTCTGCTTCTCCGGCGCAAATGGCGCAGCCCCACCTCGCCTACCAGCACATCCACCAGCAGCAGCAGCAGCAGCTCCAGCAGCAGCTGCAGCAGTTTTGGGCGAACCAGTTCGAAGAAATCAGCCAGGCGACGGATTTCAAGAACCACAGCCTCCCGCTCGCCAGGATCAAGAAAATCATGAAAGCCGACGAGGACGTCCGCATGATTTCCGCCGAGGCGCCCGTTATCTTCGCGCGCGCCTGCGAGATGTTCATCCTCGAGCTCACGCTGCGGGCGTGGAACCACACCGAGGAGAACAAACGGCGGACTCTGCAGAAGAACGACATCGCGGCTGCGATCACCCGGACCGACATTTTTGACTTTTTGGTGGATATCGTCCCGAGGGAGGATTTGAAAGACGAGGTTCTCGCGTCGATGCCACGGGGCGCGCTTCCCGTCGGAGCTCCGACCGAAGGCCTTCCGTACTACTATATGCAGACGCAGGCGCCTCCGCCGCCCGTCGGGACTCCGGGGATGTTCGTCGGGAAACCGGTCGATCCGGCGCTTTACGGTCAGCAGCCGCGCCCGTTCATGCCGCAGCAAATGTGGCCGCAGCAACCGCCCCCGCCGCCGGATTCTTAAGCGGGTACTTATGCCTGTGAGTCGATCGATCGTTGAATTTTATTTTATTTTTAAGCGCAATTAATTTTTAAGTAAAATGGTCCGTATACGACCGTATTCGAGTCTCACAGCCCCTCGTTGGTTATTGAATTTTAAAATTCTTTTTAAGCCCAATTTTTTTTTTTTTTTTTAAAGGTAAGACAGTCATTTAAAATGATATCAAGATATCAAGAGTCAAAATGCACTATTTGAATCTCACTGCTCCTCGTTGGTCATTGCATTTAAATTTATTTTTTTTAAGCCCAATTTGTTTTTTTAAAGCAAAATGGTTATTTATTATGGTATCAGAGTCGAGATGTACCGTATTCGAGTCTCACGGCCACTCGATCGTCATTGAATTTTAATTTTTTTTTTTAGGCCAATTTTTTAAAGTAAGATGGTCATTTAGTATGGTATCAGAGTCGAGACGCACCGTGTTCGAGTCTCGAGTCTCGCAGCCTCGAATTAGTCATTGAACTTTAATATTTTTTAAGCTCAATTAATTTTAAATAAGACGGTCATTTAACATAGCATCAGAGTCCAAATGCACCCTATTTGAGTCTCATAGCCCCTCATTCATCATTGAATTTTGTTAAAAAAATTTAAGCCCAATTTTTTTAAAGTAAGATGGTCATTTGACACGGTATCAGAGTCGAGACGCACTGTATTCGAGTCTCACCGTTCTTCATTTGTCATCGTCCACGTGCAAGATTCAATCTTTTCATTCTGATACTATATTAAATGATTATTTTTACCTAAAATTTAAAATTTTTAGATGAAATAGTCATTTAAATATTGTTTTGTGGCTTATGGCGGGAAATTTGAATTCAGGTTTTGCTCAGTGATCTAAGGAAGAAGATGATGCTGGGGAGATTGTCGTGGTAGGTTTGTGGCCCGGCGGCGAGGCTACGTTTGCTTAACTATTAGCCCTTTTGTTATGTCGGAGACTTTTGGCGTTTTGAAAATTTGTGCGATCGGATACACAAAAACAATGTGTGTGTTTGTTTTTGTGTAGGAAACTCGCGATTTGTGTTCTAGTTCTATATCGGGGCATCGTTTTGGACCATTTTTAGGGCTATGTTTACTTCTAAATTTTCTCTTTTTTTTCCGAAGTCCTTTTTTTTTTTTTCCAATGTCATTAAAAAAAAAAAAATTGGGTCATTTTCTTCTTCTCCATATTACATTATTATTTCCAATATTTTTTTTCTTAATTATGAATAATTGATTGATGTTATATAAATATATAATATTTTAAATGTTTGAATTATTATTTTATATAATATAAAAAATAAATATTTAATTTATAGTTTTTCAAAAGTAATAAATAATAAAATTTAAATTGAAATTCACTAACTAAGAGCAACATCATGCGCTCTATTTAGGAAATCATTCTGTCAGTTTTAGCCGTGATTTTTATCCTAAAAAAAAATAAAAATGACAATCAATCTTTCTCTTGCATTTTAAATAATTAAAATCAATTTTATTGATTGACACCAATATTGTAATTTGAGCTAGTATGCAATTTTTATTTCACCCAATTTGAAAAGTCAATACATATCATCATTTATAAAAAAGAAAAAAAAAATTATTATTATTTTTTTTATTTTTATTGGGGCGAACATTCGAATTTTCGATTGGAATTTTGCTCACTCTTAACAATAATAAAATTCCCATTTTCAGCATTAATACATGGACTTAATCCAAATTTGTAACATTAATTTGAATTTTGGTGATATAATTTTTCATAAATATTATAAAAATATAATATATATATATTACTATATAAACATATTTATCTAAAAATACAAAATGAGCACAGTTAATCATAATCATATATTGACTATATATATATTCAATATAATAAAAATAAAATAATAATTATTCAAATTATATAAATAATTAAGAGTAAAAATTTATTTATTTTTATCTAAATTTGTTGGAATATTTTATTATAAATATATATATTTTTTTGTTAATATACAACAAATATTTTATTAAAATAATGATGCATGGCTTTCTTTTTAACATATACAAAAATAATTCTTTCAATACAATATTATTAAAAAAATAAAAGAAACCATGCAATTCGATAAATAGTATTCTCTCCATTTCAATACAGTAGTCTTGTTTATCATTTTTGTTCGTCCCAAAACAATAGTTTTATTTTCATAAATAACCATATCACCGTAACACTACTCGTACTTTTTTATTTTTATTACACAATTGCCACTACCTTTTACACTAATATATTCACAAAGGCAAAAAAAAAAAAATTTATCCATACTTTTTACCAATTATCAATATAATATCAATATTCTTTAAATCTCGTGTCCAACTCAATTAAAACTATATTTTTGGGACGGAGGGAGTATTAATATATAGAAAATATTAATAATGATATTATATGGTAATAACATACAGTATTTAGTGAATTTCAATTATACATAGTAAATTCATATTCTCATTCCTTTTTAATATTTATAACATTAACTTAATATATATATATATATATAACAAAGTTAAAAAAGGTATTTTTATTTCTATTTTTTTTAAAAAAATTTGTATGATCATTCATTGAATTTAAAGATGCCTAATTGAATTTAGAAATAAATTTTAAATATTTTGATTGGAAAATATATATTTACACGTTTAAATGAAAAATATGAAATAGATTTTAAGTTTGAATCAAAACAAATATTGAAAGCAATTTATTTTTTTTAAATTTTATTTTAAAAAATTACAATGATTTGAATACGATAACAATATACATGGGGTGTTTACTTATGATTTTGGTTTTAAATTAAAATAATTATCAAATATAGTAATTTTTTTTTTTAAAAAGTAAATATTAAATATGAGTTATTTATAATATTTATGAATTATAAAAACACATTGACTTGTCTACTTGCATATATATATATATATGTATATACTATATTTTAAATTTTACTATTTAATATGATGCATTAAAAAAGCACACTAATTACTATATTTTACTTAAAAAATAAAGCATATAAACACAAATATAAAATTAAAAATATTTGTTTGGTTGTATATTTCCAAATTAGATTTGAGTTTTTGAATTATAAAATGTTAAAATAAAAATAGTTATATATATATATGTAGACAAAAAAATTGTGTTATATTTTTATAAACACAAAATTTGTACAAATTATATTTGTATTTAAATTTAATGCGGGTCCTATTCTCTATTCGGATCCTTTGATTCTCTCTCCGGGTCGATCCATTTTTCCAATTTGGATTTGGGTGGCTTCTTTGATCCGAAGGGATTTTGGTCTTCGGTTTGACTTCGCCGGCTTTTGAAGGACTTTGGTATCCATGTTGGCGATTTTGATCGTCGGCTTCGGATTGATGCCTCCTTTGGATGATCCGACGGAATTTGATCTTTGAGGGAGAGATTTAGTGCTCCATAACGCTTTTGGCGGCGTGTCCCTTTGACTTTTGGATCGAAGAGGGCCTGGTTTGCGCCTTTTATGAAGAACGCGACGAACATCTTCAAGCTTTGGGAGCGACTTTGGAGGCTCTTCCTTGGCTTTGATGGATTCCTCGATAGCTTTGAGAGATTTGATCCTTCCTCCGGCTCGGACATACGACGAAGAACGTTAACTTCATCGATTCGTCAACCAATATTGGATCATTTGTCCAAATCGGTGACTTTTCGACGAAGAACGCTTCGAAGGACACGAAGAACAATGAAGAACATTGCAGAGAGTCTAGAGAGACTTACCCTTGCGCGAGTCTTCAAATGAACTTCGGTGTCTAAATGAATTGGCCAAGGCTCCTATTTATAGGGGAGGGTGGCCTTGGCTTCCTTTTCGGATGGTGCCACGTGGATGGAAAGATTTTATAATCTTTCCTTTTCCCTCGGATGCCGTTTTCCATTTTTGACGGATTTGATTATGCACCTTCCTTTCTCGTCAAAATCTTTATATCATTGCCTTTTTTGGAAGATATTAATTTATATACTTCCTTTATTGACAAGATCTTTATATCATTGCCTTGTTTGGAAGATATTAATTTATATACTTCCTTTATTGACAAGATTAATTTATTTTGCTGCCAAATTTATTATGGCTCTATTTATGCACGTAATATTTGTACGATATCTTCCATTTTAAGCAGATTTTGCATTAATGGTTGATATTTATTGTACAAAAATTAACATATGTGCATAATTAAATACCATATATTTATTTTATTGGAATTTTATTTTCTTCCAAAATACATGATATTTAATTGATTTTAGACATATATTTTTAGTGTCTACAAAATGCCCCATCGAGACTTGTTTAAGCCGACGCAAAATGTTTAAGGCGTGAACGAGTCTCGAAACATAGAAAAAGAATTTTTTTTTTTTTTTTTAATGGCGTTTTTTTTTCTTTTGCCATTTTTTTTTTTTTTTTTTTTTTTGCATTTTTTTTGTAAATGGCGTTTTTGCCATTTTTTTTATGCAATTTTTTTTTTTTTTTTTTTTTTTTGGATTTTTTTTTTGTAAATGGCGTTTTTGCCATTTTTTTTATGCAAATTTTTTTTTTTTTTTTTTTTTTTGGATGGTGTTTTTGCCAAAAAATTATATATATATATACACATCATATATATATATATATATTCTTTCCTTTATTCTTTGTTTTTATTTTTATCTTCCTTCCTTTTTTTTTTATTTCCTTATCTTCTTCCTCCCCTTATACATGTCTTTCCATATCTCAATTTTTTTTTAGACACTATATAAACCCCTCACCATGAGAGAACTTTATCATTCTCAACTTCTCACATTTTGATTTCTCTCATTCTAGGGTAGGCTTATTTCTCTTGTGTTGTTGTTTTTTTTTTTTTTTTTTTTTTTTTGATCTTTGCTTATATATATTTTTTTGTAGACGAGATGGCTTACTTCAAGGATGTCTCCTCCCCCTCTGGAAACGCCGAGTTGGTGATTTGCGAGTTTGAAGGTCAACCGCTGGACAAGGCGACTCGTCTATTGGTGCATCCACCACTCATAGGACGCGGAGCTGCTCGCCCTCGCTTGGAGGTCCCAAATTTCCCAAAGACGTGGTCTCGGAATGTCGCTGGCGGAAAGCATACCTTGCAATCCTCACTTCATCAACACGTGTCAAACGATGTTCTTCCACTTCCAACCTTGGGGCGGCGGATCATGGATGGGGCGTGCGTTTGGAATGGTCTTCCTTCTTTTGATGGCAACTTTTCGTACGTGGCCGGCTATTGGGAATGGGCGGAGGATGTGCTGGATCGATGCGAGATTCCACTAAAGAGAGGATGCATTTACGATGCGGTCTATGCTTCCTTGTTCTCCTACGACTATTCTCCGGAGATCGTCAAGGCCGTTTGCGAGGCGTGGTGTCCCAAAACCAACACCCTTTTGACTGCCGCCGGTGAAGTGTCGATCTCTCTCCGTGACTTGGCGTCCTTGGCGGGCCTCCCCATACTCGGCTCATTTTACGAAGAGGTGGTACCAAGCGCAAAGGAGCTATATGGCAGTAAAGAGGATAGGAAGCTGGTTCCCCGTTCGTGCCGATACCTGTTGCATGCCTATCACCTTCTTCGGAGTCGTGACAAAGGTCGACGAGGCGTCCGCACAACCGACTGGATTTCTTTTTGGTGCGAAAAGACCGTCAAATACGAGCGTCCTCAAATTCGTCGTGGCAAGGAGTCTACTCGTTCTTCTCGGCCTGATGCGACTTACAATCCTACCGGAGAGATTGGTGCCCACGAGCCATGGTCGAAGGCGCAGGAGTCATCTTTTGCCAAACTCAAAGTTGGACGGGAGCACCTTGAGGAGACTTTCCTCGCAGCGTTCCTTTCTTGTTGGCTTTGCATCTTTGTGCTTCCGCTCGACGATGTTGGTTTGATACGTCCTTCGACTTTCAAGATGGCAAGTGTCCTAGCGTCGGGATTTCCAGTAAGCTTGGCCATTCCAGTCTTAACCAGTATTTATAAGGGGCTAAACCAGATCGCAGATTCATCATGTCCTGGGAAAGTTCGGTCGACAATTCCTCTCCACTTTTTGACCGGATGGATCGCTGAGTATTTTCAGACCCACTACGGCGTATGGAAGGGAATCCGTGGTCCG